GGTTGGCAACAATCAGTGACGAACGACTGTAAGAGAAAATCGAGCGTTTCTTCGAGTATTTAGTGGACTGTATCTTTTGTGTTATGTATGATACACAACGCCTTGATGATGAATGAACGTATATATAGTGTATATAGTATACAGATGGTATATAGTATATACTGTGTGTGCTCCGCGAGAGTTGGCTTGATACTGTCTGTCATCTGTCTTGTATTTGTTTCGATAATTCTCCAAAGTCTAAAATTCACAAAAATTAGAATCGGTCTAAATATTTTGCAATTAGTTAATGGAACTGGTGTAAGTTGTTGATTTTGAAGTGTACGAGTAGAGATTGCAAAATTTTCGGTAAAGAAAGACGAATTATTGCCCCATACGTAATATACTTGGCGCATATGATGACCAAACGTCGATGTCCCATCGCGCTTACCCGAAGTACGGATTCGATATTATGGTATTTTTCCTATGAGACTAATTATGCCGCCGAAATGGTACCTCAAGGTTTAACGAATTACAATTTAATTATGAAAAAATGTAGATTGGAAAAGTATTTATTTTTTTATTAAACCTTATATATCTATTTTATTCACAATAAAATTGTAAATGTTTTTAGGATTTACATAAACCTTGTGTACGTTGAAGCATGTTAAATATAATTTTAATCATGCTATGCATGCAGTTTGTTTTCATGTGGTTTGGTATAAAAAGTCCATGACTAGTAGATTCTTCGTTATAGTATAAAAAGTTAATAATGTACAGGATAAAGAAATTGTTAAAGATAAACAAAAATATTGAAATTTTATAGAGGTAATGGAAAATATTTTGGCATTAGAGATGGTACATAAACTTTCGCAAGCGATAAAAGGTTAAGAAGCTTTCGTGGGAATCAGAGGCCGTAATGTCTGACTACTGTAACAGTATACTACTGATTTTGGGAAGACGGAGTACAGTTTTAATTATAAAATGACTCCTTTGCTTTCTTCGATACATGAACTTTCTGATACTTTGTTAAATACTTTCAATGTTTAGTTGAATCTTAATATAATTCTAATCTCTATTATTTATTACATTTATTATATTAATAAGGATCATCAGATATTATTTTGTATTGCTATTTTTATTAATTAATTTCGTCGTATTTGAGAATCTTGTATGCAGGATATCTAGTTTTCATATTTAATTAGTCTTACTTAGATTAATTTATTACCAAGCTTCAAAACTTAAAAATTATTTGAGTGCTTGTCCGCCTCTGCTCCTGATTTCAGCAAGGAAGGACGTCGGTCTTAGTTGGCAACGATTAATGATGGACGGTTTATTGAGGAAGGTTGTGTATAGTGTACTGTATTTTAGTAGAACTCTCCTGATCCCTTTCGGATAACTCTCCTGATCTGTCTTCGTGACTGCTCTGTCGGTGGTTATATAATCTTCGTCTCTATGCTGATTGGTTGCGAATATTATTGTGGGTGTATCCTAGCTGCATCGTCTTTCGGTGGTGGTGGTTGTTTAAACAATCTAGATCCTTGTGTTTGTCGTCTTGAAGGGTGATATATAGCTGCTTGTTAGGGTTACCCATGTGGTGGCTTATGTGGCAACGAGTGTAGAAAAGTCAAGGGACGCTGACAGTAAGGACATAAAACAGAGCTTTCACTTTTAGATTTACAGTCCTAAACAAAGGGATGACCCGGAGTACCGAAAACGATCTTTCACGGATTAACAGTGTCGTAACCTTTCTCTCGGGATTAAGAGCCTGGACGCTATGTGCTTGACATTTTGACCCTTGGAGTAAATAATCTAATTACCAGTGTTTGACGCACACACTCGCGGTCATGTCTGTGGATAAATGAGTGACAGGATGTAAATAAGGAGTAAGAGTAGGACGCTACTGACTATTCAAAAGACTTCTAATTGATCTAAGCCTTGCTCATTTCGACGAAGGACATTTTGTTGCTCCATGCTTCAAGATATGAGGATATATCCTTCTGAGACAGGACGTAAATAAATTTCAGTTTAGATTTATAATTAAAAATAACAAATACTAGATATTAGAAAACAGAGCATATGATATAGAAAAGACTCTATTGAAATGTTATTCCGTCTGACATTTTTCGAGTAGTATAGACAATTGAAATATGAAACTTTTTAAACACATAGTTTAGATATTAGTGTGAAATTAACTCTTTTCATTACATTAACAGTACAGTTGAGATAAATATGATATAATCGTAAGATGTATTTGTGTATTGCGTATATATATTATGTACTTCACATTATATATACTGATTTTGAAATCATTAAAATTTGAGATTTGAATTTAAATTTATTAGCTCGAATTCAAGTAAGTCTCTATTACGACTGTAGCACAGTAGAAGTAATTACCTGTTTCTAATTAATGAAAACAAATAGATTTGTACTAAATAAATCGAAGCGGAATTTCTGCTTCTTCTCTTTCTGTTTTAACAAAACAAATCAATATTGAACATCATACTGCGTGTCATGAAAAATGTATTGTATACAACAAATATAACTGTGTATATTTTGCGAAGGGGCGTATTTTCTTGGCTTCTTAAGGTGAATTAAATTGTTAGGAAATTAAATAATTAATGGATTGAAAATTAGCACTGGAGAGACGAGACGTACCAGAATGTTAGAGTAGGAAGGATTTAAGGTGTCTGCGAACTATTTAGTTTAGTCAAACATGGAGTAATGAAGCCACCACGTTCTTTCTAAAACAAATCCAAATAGTTAAACATAGTTTTCAAATTAATCGCAAATTACAAATTACTATCGTTGCTCTGTATGTTTTTGGTATTAGTAATATATAAATACGAAAAGATTGGTTTCAAGTTTTCGGATTTTGGAATTATTCCAAATATACAGCTGCTCTTGGAAGAATTAACATTGACTTTTATTGAGATATAAACGATATTATATATTCTAATTTACTTTCATTGTATCATTTTAATCATTACCATTTACGCAGTTAGATATACTTGATAATTTTATATTGATATATCTTGGTACGCATTATAAGTCGACAACTTTTGTGTTAAGAATATCACAGATTGTATTCGAATAAACAAATTTTATTTTAACGATTGAGGATTTGAACCAGTTCGGTTCTATGACTGTGTACAAAGTCAATGTTTACTGAAACGTATGTAAATTAATCTACATCGTTTGAATTCCTTTTCTTTTTCTTAATTTTTAGTTTCATATTTTATTTTAATCTTTACATTGAAACAAATAGCTAAAATATCTAATAACAAGATCGAACTAGTCCTTATATATTACTTCGATCAGCTGTTTTAATGACATAAATCCTGTAACTAAAAAAAAGAAAAACAAAAATAGGCAATAGAAAGAAATTACATAAATATGATATTATCGTGTAATAGTTGAAACATATTCAGTTGCAGTACGTATAACCATTAGGAATCCAAGAATTTTCGTGGCGACACTTATAAGTTTGCTGTTTATAACAGTTTTGCACTACCTGTTCATCCTTTGGCCTTCTATTCGGAAACATCTGTTGCTCCACACGCACGAGAAACAAGGAATGTAGTATAACTTACTGCGATCGAATGTGTTCGTTGGAAGCGTGTAACTTCTAAAACAGTCTGAGAAATATTCAACATATACAATTAACTACAATTAACTACAATAGTGTTCACTAATATCAAAACATTGGCTTAGACTTAGCGAAAATGAAAATATTTTAGTGACTGAAATTAATTATAGTAATAAAATTATAATTTTTTTTATAAAATAAAGAAAAATATATTAATAAAATCGAATATTTTAAACTTATAATTTTTCCGTCTTAAAAACAAAACCAAACATGTAAAATTCAGAAAAAGAGAAACTGTCAATTTTTGATACTATCAAACATTGATATATTTAATAAAGATTAAGAGTTTGAAAGAAATTCTACAGGTTTGCTAAACTCTTTATACATTTGATAATTGATTTCAGATTTACAGTTGAAAGTTTAGGAAAATTATCATTAATTCAATTAATATGATTAAATAGATAATTAAATTATCTCATTTTACTCTCTAAAGAATAAGGGTAAAAAGTAAACAAGCATTACCTAATAAAGACTTATTGAAAGTGTTATATCGAGAAAGAATGTTTTGGTGGAAGAATATTTATTTACGATGTCACAAACGGAACTAACTGATTCTTGTGAGCAGATCAGTCGTCTCCAGAAAAAAGAAAAGGACACTAAGCAAACGCGAAACGATGGGGAAGGGATCATCCCCACATCGCTACAATAAAGGGTTTATTTTTGGCATATAACTTTCTACAACAAAATCAAATTTATAAGATTGCGAATTATATATAACAACTTTTTCTGTTGTTTCTATAATTATCGTACATGTTCGATTAATTTCGGAGTTGTTTACTGTTTCAAAGTTTGGGTTTTGAATGTGGGTGTTTGATATTTTTGAAGATACTTTTAGCTATATTGTACGTATCTTAAATTATTTTGCAACGAGGAGAAAAGTCAGACTTAAAGACAGCTTAAGCATTTGATCTGTCCTACTGAATAGCAATAGATGAATCATAAGCTTCTTACGAATTAAAGAGTTATGGATGTTGCGTGTGATTTCTGAACTTCGAAGCAAAAAATCTAATCAGAGGACTATACGCAGACTGGCGATTATATTTATGAGTTAACTATTGACAAAGAGCAAAGAGTGTATATCTTAATGTGTCATAATATATCTCGATTCTTTAGATTTTTACGAGCTGAAATAAATGTAAATAATTGGAATGTTATAATGGAATGTTTATAATATTTCTTGTATAATTAATTAACACGGTATTGTTATTCTCGTTAGTATCTTGTGAAAATTGAGAGTTTCTTCTCCAATCTTGTAAACATATAACTAATGATAACGTTACATTTTGAACGACTCGTATCATCGTTATAAACGCCTATTATACTGTAACTCGCGTAAATTGGAAGTACAGGATAGATTTTCTTATTATGTTCTCAGGTTCTCTGGGTACCTCGGTGTTCGACACGGACGTGTACCTGGTTGGCGCCAGTGGGGGCGTTTACGCTCTCCTCGCGGCTCATCTTGCGAACGTCCTCCTCAACTATAATAACATGGAGTTCGGCATTGTTCGATTAATAGGCATCTTCGTGATCGGTAAGATTTCGAATAAAATTTAAATAAACTTCCGATGCCATTCGAGGAAAATTGGTTAACATATTTGAAATATTTAAAAAATATTTTAAAATATTTTACGTTCTACTTTTTCTAGATTTTACGATTATACGTGTGCAACGTGTGCCAGAGTAAAAGAGTTTTGAAACTTGCTTTTTTCGTACGTTTTAACTTATTTTTCATTTTATATATGTGTACATATAGCAAAACGCGTGTTTTTATTTTTAATGCACGAATTACGATAACTACAAAAAATATTGGTTCTTTCTTGAGATTTTCGCGGTTTAATTTTTAACAAAAATAGAAAGGAAATTCGATAAGCATCACCGATTTTATTGCTAAAGTGTATTCATTGTATTAAATTATTGAACTATTGTCATAGAATACGATATACATTTTCTGTCAGTAACGAGAATACAGTTTTAAAACGAATCCTATTGAACGAACGACGTTACACACGTATCGGTTCAATATGCACGGATAACTTCATAGCTGATGCTATAATGACACTTCGTGTCCATATATTCGATAAATACAACGATATTTAACCCTTTGCACTCAAGGGGCGACCCTCAGTCGCCACTCAATCAGATTCTAAAGATGGATGTTAATTAATATATCAAATTTAAAATTACCCAACGATGCGTGGAATACCGAAATAAAATAATTCTACGTCTTAACTTATCGTCTAATTTAACGTATTTATTTAATTTAATTCAATTTAATAATTAATTTAACAATTCAATTTAATTTAACAATTTCTTATTTGCTGTTTCAAAAATATTGTCGACTTTATAGCAGCAAGTCTTCGAATTACTTTTTTGTAATTACTTTCCTGTAACGAAAAAATCGCCGAGTGCAAAGGGTTAAATAAAGTTGAAGGGAGATAAAATGTAGAAATATATATGAAGCAAAATAGAAATGGGAGGAAAATAATTGTAACGGAATAATTAAAATTTTCAGCGAGCGCCGACGTGGGGTTCGCGATCTACGACAGATACGCGGCCGAGCAAATGGGCCCGCCCGTTTCGTACGTGGCGCATCTGACCGGCGCGTTGGCGGGACTCACGATCGGCCTGCTGGTGCTGAAGAACTTCGAGCAACGGCTTCACGAGCAGCTGCTCTGGTGGGTGGCTCTCGGCGTCTACGCGGCCTGCACTATCTTCGCGATCATGTACAATCTCATGCATCCAGACTATCCATGACGCGAGGTCAGCTTCGCGTATGGCCAACCGCGAAATTCGTAACGCGAAGCTGACTAATCAATCGATCAACAAGAAGAAACGCGGATATGAAGAAAAATGAAAAGATAAGTAATGGAGCGAGGAGGATTGTCGAAACGAATCCCGGTGAAGATTCTCGCAAAGGATTTCGAACTGTTGCGCGAGAAGAAGAAAAGGAAAAACGGTGTAATGGATAGAAATTCGAACTGGAGAAGCCTCTGTTTCCGGTTCCACAGCGATTGTTGCAGCGCGAAGTAAAAAGAAACGAGAAGGAGATATTTTTGTCGAAAGGAAGCTGAACGATGCAGTCGTTTTTCGACTCGTATTGGATGAACTGAAGAAATTTATGAATCGAGGTGAAAGATACGATTGGAAGGTTCGCGAGACTATAGCGCGCAAGAGAATCGTTAATTGTTCTTTTTCATGGACGGTGATTGCACTCGAGAAGTTCCGAGGAGAATTTGGGAAGTGGGAGAAAAGAATATATCCATACCGCGAGAAAATTTCGCAAGATTTTTAGATAAACTCCGAGTACATTTTTGAGAAACAGGATTAAGATTAAGAGGAAGAATTAAGAATTTCGTAACGCTAATAGTAAAAAAAAAAAGAGAAATAATTTTCTAATCGCTGGCATTCATGTAAAATACAGTTTTTAAAAGTATATTAAAATTCAAAGTAAGTCGCGGAATTAATGTTGCAGCTATTTTCATCGAACTTAGTTATCAGTACAAATTAAAAGAGCAAAGAAAAGTAAGGTTCCAAGAACCATGACGCGTAACACTCTTGGCCGTAGCAATTAGACAAAAGAGAACGAGGAAGTAACAAAGGAAAATACGAGGAAAAATGAAGAAACAGAGATAAAATCGAACAATAGCGAAGCAAGATATCGTGAAAATAATTCGATTATTTTTTCATAAAGGGACTTCATGAAATGCCTCCGTTTCTCGTAACAACGTACGGATGAATCCAAAACAATCGAAGACTATAACAATATTCGGTGTTGGAAAGAAAAACACGACGATGGAAAATTAGTAGAAATATCGAGAGAATAAGCAACGAATGCAAAATTAATTTCATATTCGTCATGGTTCACGTCGATTCGATCAACGTATTTTCTTCGCGTTTTAATAAAACGAATCGAAGTATTTGCTAAAAGTAGATCGGTCAGAGTGAAGAAGAAAAAAGGAAAAAAAAAAATAAAGTCCAGAAATTCGAATCGGGCAGTCGATTCATTCCCTTTGAGCGCTAGCATTTTTCTACTTTCCCGGTGAAAAACCAAAGATTCGAGATACCTCGGGGAATCCGTTTTCGGGGCCCACACGTCGTTGATAATACGCTAACCGCGGCGAAACGCGCACTGCCTGGCGCGTGTACGCGGTGGCGGTCCGTCGGCCAACAAGAAGGAATGGAAAAGAGCGGAAGGGGAAGCATCGGTGTGAGAGGAAAAGCCTCTGCCCGTGTCAGAGGGGAAGCGGACACGGGCAGAGCGGGAGACGCGATTCTTCTTTCCGGCGTATTTTCTCGCTTATCGGCCGCTTTCATGACACGAAGAAACCAAAGAATCCTACCGAACCTCCTTTGTCCTTTTCAATTTCACCTCTCGAACGAAGACGGACGACAAACAGAGAACAACGGAGATAGAGGCAAGATGTTCCGGGAATCCCTCGCGGTGTCGAGGAAACAAGATGTTGGGATACAAGGCGGAAACTAAGAGGAAACGAGAGAAAAGAGAGGACTGAGGCAAGGGAAAGGATCGATCGTCTCTGGTCACGCGGCAGTCCGCTGAAGAAAACGAAAGATGAATGGACTTTCGTCGCTATAGCAAGATCGATCACGGCAGGGACTGTGGAAAGAATCATTGGAAAAATGGAGCGAAACGTCGTGCAAATGGTAAAATGTGGAAATTTAAAAATCGAATATCTCTTAGAAATTCTGTTTCGGCGAACGAGCAGAGATCACGATGATTTGTCTCGGTCATCGAAAAAAAAAAAGAAGCATTGGAAAGAATCGTCACGCGTTCTTTTGCGGCGCCATCTAGAGGCAAGAAGCACGAAACACGATTACGTGTATCGGTTGGTAAGAGAGAATAATGAAAAGACTCGGCGATGGAGTAGACGAAAGATGGTGGTTGTCGTCGCTAAATCTATCTCTGACGACGAAATGCTCGACGAAATGGTGAATCACGAACGACGACGCTTTGAACGGAAGAAACAACGAGGCGACATAGAGAAGGAAGGAACGTGAAATACGCGCATCCCAGGCGTGTAGTTCCAACAGCGATCGCGCGCGCTGCCTTCGGTTATCTTCAGGGCATTTACGTAATTACCACGGAACGCAGTGTTCGGAGCGCTGGATGCGTTATCGATCGAGACCAACCGGTCGATTGATCACGTTTCTTCTCCTATCGACCGTCGAACATTCTCTGCTGTCAGCGCCGTGGCGCTATCGTCGCGAATCTCCTCTAGTGCGCGTTTTCTTGTGGCCGAACGAGGGATCGATTCACGCTCTAACCTGTATACCATTGTAAATAATTCTGTACATAATCAAGACGTCGGACGACAACGTCCGTCGCGTGTATGCGCGAGTGTGTATGTGTATGCGTGTGCGCGAAAACGATGCGAGAATAATATAAGCGCGATGGACCGAAGGGAACCTCGGTCGACCGCGCGGTCTAGTCTGATAATCGCGAGATTGCGTGGTTGCTCGTATAAAACGAGAGAAGAGAAAAGAGAAACGAAGAAGAAAGAGAGATGTTCCGAATTCGGTATTTCGCGAATTAGCGTGGCTTTTTCCGTAAAATCCGTTGGAGGAGGAAAAGAAAAAGCGAAGCGATTCGCGCGTTTTTCACCACGTGGCAATTTTCTCGATCCGTGTCCTCGTGTACGTTCGTGTCCGTGATTCGGCACGACGCGGTTCATCGCGATACGTGGGAGAATTTTGCGAGGAAAGAGCATCGAACGAGAGAACGAGACAAACGATCGTTGCGATCCTCGCAAATTCTCCGCGGAGCGGATGTGTTCGTCCTATATAGGCCCATTTGTAATTAAATCGCGTATAGTCCTATCGAGTGTTTGCGTTTGGCCGACTGGCCTGTCACGGGTTTTCGTTAACGGAGGAGGCGCGTGCTTCCCGCGTACTTTTCGCGTGTTCTTAACTTATTTCCTTATTCTCGTTCTTCATATTTATTCATACTTTCTCGAAGATGAAAATGTGCCGCCGGTGATTTCGTCGCGAATTCGATCTCGAGTCCACTCTATTTCCTTAATTCCCGTCTTCTTTTTCTCTTCTTTCTTGCCCATTAATCTACTTCGCGTGCGCGGGCAAACCGAGATTCATTTTGTTTTTCGCTTACGATTTTTTTCTCGCGATTAATTTATTTTTTTTATCCACCCACGTGGTTTCTCGACGGTGGATCGATCGGTTGAAAATTTTCATACGAAATAACGAATAATCGAGAATTATTTCTCCGTGACAACTGTTTTCTTTGCTTTGCGAAAACCAATCGTCCGTGCGAGTTTCGCGAGGAGAAAAAGAGAACGAGAGAAAGAAAGAAAGAAAGAAAGAAAAAGGAGGAAATTCGTACCAAAAAGTCGATGGCGAAAAGGCGAACGAGTTGAAACCGAGAGTGATTAACGATGCTAGTCAATTAGTAGCGGCAGCAGGCAGCTAAGGCATTAAGACATTGTCGGAGAACAGTTTTTCGTTTTGAGAAGCGAGAAGCGGCTGGAAAATTTGCTCGAGCATATAATCCGGTGATTCGTCGTCCTTGAAATTTCTGACACGTTTCTTTCGCTCAATTACGCTTACAAATAGTTTCAAAGATTCTTCGACCAGTAAAACGATAGCATTTACCAAAAAGGCTTCGGTAATTAAACGTGCTACTTTTTCTTATCTTATTTTCCACGATCGATCTTTGCAAAGCCTTTAACAGTCTCCGGTGAGTTACGAGCAGTTTCTAATTGCAAATAATGTTTAAATCGGATCGGTCGGTAAAACAGAACCGTTACGATTAGTTACGAATATGACTGTTAATAGAAACTATCGATTAAAATCGCCGTAATTCGATTTTCGATTGTTTCTTAGTTTTTAGAAATTCCATAGCTAAATTGTTCATTTTTTTGTTGTTGTTGTTCTGTCGATAACCGTTGCTTCAGTTACCTCTAGATTTTCTAATTAGGGTCAAATCGTTGGTTATAACGAGTTTTTTTATTTTCATTAACAAGTCCAAATGATATTTTTCCTTTATTTATGTGATCTGTATATTTACGACAAAATCAGTATGTTAAGTCGTGTATTGTTTTTCGGTCAGGACATTTTTCACGCGAATCAGGTGATTAATGTTAATTATTTTAACCGAAAGTGATCAGATTGAGATTATAAGGAACAATCGAAAATGATACGAAGATATCAAAACCAAATAGAAAAGACAAAGGTTCAATTACTTGTTACACGTATTAACTTAGTCGGAACTTCATTCATCAACATGGATTACGTTAACCGCATAAATACGTTTTGACTAGAGAAAAATGAAGAAATGGAAAAGTGAAAACGATAGCAAGACCAAATTGCAATAGAAAATATTAAATCGCGATGCACGATAACCCGATCGAAGTAAGAATTAGCAGTATTCGTCGCGTTTTATCGCGAAGATATAAGATCGGAACACTTTGTTCGAGAAATCGTCGAGAGACATCGAATCACCGATCCAAGTAACGTCCTAGAACACGTGAGCCTAGAGCGATCTTGACTCCGAATTGGGAACTACCCTTACGGAAATTACCGGGACTTACCCGTAATCGTGACGCCAGTCCTCGGCCGCCGAGTTTGCGTTTATTTATTTAAAAGAAGCACGCCGAAAATGTTTGTTACCGCGAGGCGAATAGGAAAGTTACGACTCGCGACACAGCGAGATTACTCTAGCAGCGTATATGAAGCGCGCGTTATGTTCGTTAAATTATTCGTATAAGTTAGAGGCCACGTGTAAAGACGTGTTCACGTCGAGGTAGCTTAAGTGTCGACGACGGTATCGTTCCATTCTTCTCATTTCTTCTATTTCTTCCTTCCGTTACGAATTCCGAAACGAAGGTAGACAACAACCCCCCCGAGGAACCTACGTTATTTTCCTTTATACGTTTTATTTATTTATTTATTTATTTATTATTTCGTTTTATTAAGCGGCGATCGAGCGAACGCGAAAGCCTCTCGACGAGGATACGATTCGGTTCGATATCGCTAGAATCCGCGG